GGATCAAAAACCAAAGCAGTCTGTCACAAAAGCAATTTATAGAAGTAGATCAAGAAAACAATCAAATACAAATAACAAAGCTATTCAAGACAGTCAATGATGTCAGCAGACTGATGTGTACCATTGAAATTTAGTTAAATCATGATATTTTTATTCCTTTTTTTCTTTTTTCTTTTGGAGAACAATTCAAACACCCTCCAGATTAACTTTTTCTTTTCATGAGCAGCAAAAAGCACATTTCCAAACGCATATATAGTGGGGTGTTCTATGTATGGGATTCCTCGAATGTGCTGGTTTTAACCCAAGTGTTGGCCTGGGAAGCGCATCCATTACTCAGGAATCCCAGTTAAAATAGTCCTGTCACCCTGGATTTCAGACACAGATCTGCTGTCTGTGGTGCAGAACACCCGTGAGTTTCTGCGCTGCTGCCTGCTTCCTATGTTTATCCTCCTGCTCTTTCGAGAACCAAACCCATCAATCTCCCACCAGAAAAACGAATACCCAACTGTCCATCCAAGCCTGCTGGAAGGGAAAAGGTGAAACCTACAAATATAAATGATAATCAGAGGCTTAGTGATGCCAAGAGACACAAAGCGAAGGAGTTCACCCAGAACAAGCAGCCGCACAGTCCGAAGGACGTGTCACCACAGATGGTAAAATAACTGTTAGATTAATTCCATTTTAACCACTAACAAAGTAATATCACACGTAAGATGATGATTATGTTGTCTTAATGCAGATTGCAGTTATATTTAAGTTTCTGAGCAGATGGAGCATGAATCAGAAAATTGAATTGAAGGGATATTACCTGTGCCATCATCCACATTTTCCACCTCCATCACCTCGGTGTTGATTCGTCCTCTGAACAGGTAGCGGGGACCCTCATTGGATGCTTTGCTGTTTTTCAAACGCCTTCCACACATAAGATAGAACCCCATTAGATAAATTAAAACATTTACATCTCTGTCCCTTTCTTAGGCCTGTATATTCAGATTCATTTGAATATGTGCAGTTACAAGTAGGTCTGATAAGGCTGAAAAATGTAGCACAGCATAAGCTTCTCTTATCAAGCAATGTTGATAATTATTATATTAAATTTGTACCTTTTTAAAATAAGTACCACAGGATAAAATGAAATTGTTACCCTGACGTGTAACCTTTGACCTTTAAAAACACCCGACTACAACCTTGCTTAGCTTTGCTGTGAGCAGATGAGAGGCTAAGTCCTTTCCTCTGCCTACATCCCTTGAATGGGAATCAAATTTCAGCGAAATCATCAATGTTTTCATTGGATATATTTCCTATTGATACTCTATTGAGATCTATATTGACTTTGTTTTATTGTCCTAGCTACACTTAATGTCCCCTTAGCCAAGATGTTTAAAGACCTTTTTAAAATAAACTCATGTTATACTTCAGAATTTTTCTAAGACATTGCAACATGTTTTAGATTGTTATTAGACCCCATGATGACTAAAGGAATATTTTTTTTCTGGAGATGAAGAATTTAAGATGTAATGTCTTCTTACAAGGAAACAGACCCACAGCATCATGGATCCTCAAATGTACAGTACTAAACGAGTTGTGAGTAGGGCTGGGTAAAAGAAAAACGATTTAATTGATTTTGAATCGATTCCTTTACATTTTTGCAAAATCCATGTCTAGGAAATGAGATTGATTAGTTTTATAGTGACGCAAGCAGATGAGAGGCTGAGTCCTTTCATCTGCCTACATCCCCCTGAATGGGAATCAAATGGTTCACATTCAAATGAGCAGGAAAGATGCTCTCAAGATGACTTCAAGCCAGACAGCTGCAAATATAGCCAATAGGTTGACTGAAGACATTAACAAATGGGGGCTGACCAGCAAACACCCTGTAGTTGTTACAGACAACGCTGCAAATATTGTTTGTACAGTGGAGATAATGCAGCTCATGCATGTCTGCTCTCTCCCCGCTGTCACGTCTGCTTGCTCGAGTGAGGCTTCACTTTTTCACTTTTCACAAACAAGTTTGCACTTTTGAGACAGTGTTGTTCACATCTCAAGTTTAAACTGTCTGATTTACAAGTTTGCACTTTGTGTTTAATATGACAGGAAAAAAATAAAATACATGAGTATTTTGAAACACAGTTGGACCACTTTCACTATTGTAAAAACAGATAGAATCGAAGGAATCGATTTAGAACTGTATGAATTAAAATCAAATCGATTCAGGACTTTGCCGAAATTACCCAGCCCTAGCTGTGAGATGTTTTTTCTTCACATTAAGCTTTATTTTTTAAGTTAGAACCACCTGAAGCAATCGCTGCTAAAGGTCTAGATTCTAATATCATCTAAGAAAAAGACCGAGTGCCCTGCAGTTTTAAATAAACTTGGTTTGTTTAGTCTTGTGGTGTTTTAACAGAAAAGACAACTTTTTGAACAGTAGTAGTCTCTAACGGTTGTTGTTGAGACTAGTTCATACTAGCAGCTAATAATCAAGTTTAGGGATTTTTTTTGGTCCTCCTTTACCATCCTGCTCTCCTTTCATGGTGACAAGAGAAATGTTGGCGGTTCATCATATTGTGTTTGCCAGATCTGACTCTAGACAAGTTTAGACTTGTAACTATCTTTCTTATAATTTCAGACTTAGGGTGCATTGTTTCATCTAAACTCACATTTAAGAGGAGTCATTTTGGAGGTAAAGGCGCTTGTGTTCTCCATTGCCTCATAGGCCACTGTTACAACTATAAAAATGAACAAATCACCATTCTATGTGGTTTTCTCTGCATATACAAAGCATTAAAACATTTCATATTGTTTCCATGTAGCCCCTAATGACTCATTTAATGCTGCACGAATAACAAAGACCAGCTACAAAACATTAAAAACTGAAAAGATTAGCTAGTGTTGATATGAGTCACAGTCATCATGTATACAGAAGTCTGGGACCATCCTGTTACACCAACTTTCCAACACATTATTATGACTTTTGGGGGCTTTCTACTTCAAATGCATGTCTCAGAAGATGGAAATGAAGACTTCTGTGGAGAAATAGAACACATCAATAATCCTCTTTGCTTAAATGACATGTTTGTAGGTTTTTATATATGACTTATTAACTTAATCTCAGATATTTTTTTCCTATAGAATCAGATTAACCTATTTTCTCTCTCTTAAATTTCATAGTAAAAATTACAAATACAGTATTGTTTTCGAAAACTTAATCTCAATCATCGCATCTAGGAGGTAAGCTTAATTTAAAGGGCCTAAATTTGTAAAATAGTCATTACTCACAGCAAACAATACAAATACAACAATACATTTAGGAGCTAGTGGTATCTCACAGAGGCAGGGTTTGAGAAGACATCTAAGAACTAAAGATGATGAACTGCTGTCACCATAATCTATGGAAGAACAAGGAGAGAAAAGGTAAAAAAAAGAAAAATACAGATTTCGTTCAATCAGTTTTAATCGATTAATTGCCCAGCCCCATTACGAGGGTTGAGTTAGAGAAATAAAATGTAAAAAACATGGATCAGTATGAATAAAATAAAAACACTAGGCTGATCAAATTCAAAATGGTACAAATTCTCGAAGATTTTACTACAATTAAATCTAAATAACACAATTTTAAAATTAAAACATGTTCTTAACTTAAAGGCAAGGTTTTTTAAGGTTTTTCCACCACCAACAGTGGTGGCTGTATGAGTAAGCAAACGAAACAAAATCATTCATTTTCACTCCATAAATATATATTTTTGTATGTCTTAATTCAGTAAAAAGAAATGTAACCAAGATGCAGACATGTTGAAGGTGATAATAAGGAAATATATAAAGGGAAATGAATTGAATAACTATAGAATCGGTTGAGTAGCATCGTTAGCAGCTATAGCCATAGAAATATATAGAGCTTCACACAGCTGACTATCTGTAATCATAGCGGGGAATCTGCTGGAACCTCCTAGTAACTTGCACCATTCAAAAATAATGAAAGGTGTAATGGTTTCACTTTAGGTGAAATATCATCTAATGAATAGGCTATTGTGTTTACAGTGAATTCTTGTTAATTTATTTCTGTTTTCTTCTTTACAATTTATTTTTGTTCATCTTTGCTCCCTGAAAGCGTATAAGCATTATTTTAGTAGGCTCTTTGCTTTTTTAACAAATAAAGTATCTCTGCCGGAAACTATACTACCCCTCTATTTCCTTAAATAAACGCTAAGCGTGTGCCGCATGTTGGAGGTTACAACTCACAGTAGTGACCCATGTGTTAAAATGACAGGAGATCCACCTGTTTTTCTTCTTGCAGTAAACCAGAAGCTTGTCAAACAAGAAGAAAGCCCTCTCTTGTATGTTTCCAGCCGAAATCTTCAACAGGACGCCCTGCATCAGCATCTCTGTGCACGTATCTGTAATATTGGAGCCCTGGCGGAAAAAAAATGGGATTAACCCAACATTTAAGATCAAATCATTATATGACATTATCTGTATATGTAGAGACATATGAAAATGTTTCTCAATTCAGAATAAATAAAACCTGTACCCTTATCTGTTTGAGCCATAGACTCCTCCCATAAGAGATAATAAGTGTAAAAAAAGGACTGTCCTGAGAAAAGCATTTAGACACCCATTGAGTAAAATGGTAAAACTTCCTTTTGCTCTATGTTTAGCTTGAAGTCTTCTAAAATATCCGTCTCTTGAAGTATCTGCTCATTGTTCTTTGCTGAACAGCTCAAGCTCAAACACATTAGATGGAGAGAATCTGTGAACATACTTTTTAAAAGTCTTGCACCACTTAGATTGAGGTCTGGACTTTGGCTAATACTGAATATGCTTCTAATTCAACCCTTCTATTGTAGCTTCAGTTGTAAAGTTGGGGTAGCCCTCATTGGGAAGCTGAACCACAGCTCCAGTCTCAAGGCTATGGAATCCTCCAACAGGTTCTCTAACCGTGTATTTAGCTAAATCATGTTTTCTTTAACTGTGACCATCCTTCTAACAAATCCTCCCCACAGCTAGTTGCTGCTACTTCAATGCAGATGTGTTACTCAGGGTTCAATACGAGTTTTCCACTAAACGACTTTTAAATGGTTTCCTATCAAAAATGTATTTCATGACATAGTTGTCATGAAATTCATAGTTGTTCAGTGTA